TTCCTCCTAGATGGATGGATGAATCAATGAATGGGGGAAAGATGAAGCTATCACCTGTAATCATTTCGTCTTCATCGGGAGTGTTGAATTCTTAATTCTGGTTCCTCTCTACCAGATAGTTTGCTTAATTTAGTTGTTCTGTTTCAGTTATGTTATTGCAGTTCAAATGTTCGATCTTTTGTCTAAGTGAGAAATGGCTTCTGTTGCCTTGTTGGTCTTTATCTTTCCTAGCTGTTTTGGTCTGACCGTAGTTATGTAAACAAAACAAAAAGGCCTTAGCTTGCATCGTTTGTGTACTTGTTCTGTTGATTAGTGTATTCCCTTATGCCATATTTGAAGTCTTCAACGCAGTGCAATGCAATGGATATATCACATCAAATATTTTCACATGGTATCCCAATCAGCTGGAAAACATTACTCTGCATGTTTACAACATACCTCGACAAGAAACCTCTGATGTGGCATCGCAGAAAAGACGAAGCTATATCACCTATGATCCTCTCATCTTCTTTGGGAGTGTTGAATTCTTAATTTATGGTTCCTTTCAACGAGATACGTTGCTTTGTTTTTGTTTTTTCTGTACATTGGGACTTCGCTGCTTGGCGTTATAGGGATTCGAACAAATAGATTGCTTAGTTGATGAAATGAAATGGACGAAACTTCATTACACTTTAAGAGAGAAGAGCATGCCAGATTGGCTCGATTAGGTTTAGCTTGTTAATTTTGTTGCTTTGTTTCTGGGCTATCCTTGCAGCCCAAGTGTTCGATCTTTTGTCTACAAGAGAAGGAGCTTCTGTTACCTGGGTGGGCTTTGTCTTTCTTGGTTGTTCAGTCTATCAAAGTTACGTAAACAAACAAAAAGGCATTAACTTGCATCCTTTGAATATTTTGTGTTGCTGGTTAGTGTTCTCCTCTAGAAAGACTTTAATGCAATGGATATATCACCTCAAAGACTTTCACCTGGCATCCCAGTCAATTGGAAGACGACTCCTCTTCCACGTAGAACACCTCAATATGAAACCTCCAACGCAGCATGAGATGATCACTTTTGACACGGCATGAAAAAGTCTCCGAGATGACATAAAAAAACTTATGATGTCAGCTAGGGTGACGAAGAACCTCTGATATCTCAGCTCTCTATTAGCACAAAGAATTTTATTGTACCGTCTTATCAACCGTGTCATACCGATCGACACCATACATAACCTGAAAACACACCATTGCAGCTGCATATGAGAATCCAACAGGGTAACCCAATTCCTACAGCTGAACATGAAGATTCCGTTTAAGGTGTCCTGGAACTAATGCTTTAAGTTCTCTTCTTTCGATCACCTCATAACGTAATTCAAGAATCCAGCTGTGATCGAGTAAGAAGGAAACCTCCTTCCAAACTATCATGAGATGTATGAAAACAAGTATGCAACACTGAAAATTTACTTGACATTTATGATAATTTAAAGCAGAGGCAGGCTGCAATCAAATGTATGCCTTCAACAAACTGGTGCCCTTGATAAGGCAGATTGGTTCAGAGCGCATGTATGATCATCTCCTTTTTTT